TGAGGGTTGGGGGAAGCGTGTTCCTGCTGCTGAGTTAGAGCGTGTGCAGAGAGGGAGTCGCTCTCACCTCTTTTTTTTTTCTTTTATATGGTGAGGACACAAAAGGTAGAGCCTATCATGTTTACCCTTCGGCTTTCACCCACTCCCATAAGAAGCTCAGAGGGGCGTCAAAGTGTAAATAGTCCTCTGAGAAGAGTTGGCCACGTTGTCCTTTATTTTCTCTCGGAAGTAGAGTGAATGAGCCCCCGGTGTTCCTGTTTGAGGAAAAACAAAAGAGAGAGGAAACAATAACAGAAGCTCAGTGTCAAGCTTAATGACAGAAACCAATCACCTGCGGAAGGGATAGAAAGGAATTACATTTATGCAGGTGTGGTACTACACTGCAAAAACACCACTTATGAATGAAGCTTCCAATTTAATGTCCATCTCCAAAGTCATATTAATCTGTCTTGAGAATTGTATGTAGTCAGTAGCATTGATCATGTTAGAAAATCCTGAAAGGTGTTGAGCAGGCCAGTCAACGTCTTTCTCACAAACTGGGAAAACCATTTCATTATGAACGTTTCTTTCTCTCCTGCACAATTTAATTTTTCTTTTCACTCAAACTTTTTTCTTACTTTCCTCCCTTATTTTGTCTTGTTTCTTTCCTTCGTTGTTTTCTCCTTTTATCTTTCCCATTTCTATTTTTCCTTACTTTACTTAATTTGTTTTTCTCAAGTCTCTTGATATTCGTTTCATCCTGCTAATGTTGTTTCTATTTGTTTTTCCTTCTTAATTTCCTTTTTCCTTTCCATTTTATCGTTCTTCTTTCTCTTTCCCTTTTGTTTCTGCCTTTCTGCCTTCTTACATTCTTTAATTTGCCCATCCTAACCCACTTCTTTCCTAAATTTTTGACAATTCTTATTAATTTTTAAACAAATTTGGAAAATTTTGATTTTTAACATCGTAGTCCATCTGAGTATTTCTTCCATCTCACTCAGCAGAAGTATGACATCCTCAGGCTGTCTCTCCTGAAAAGGGAGACCAGCCCTAAAAAGTGTTTGTGTTATAAATAAAAGCAAACAGGTAAGAGATCTTGCATATCAACTTTCATTCACATGAGCAACAATTAGTGCCTGTGCATGACACCGCTTTTCATATCTGTAAGTCAAGCCTGGATTGAGTGTTCCCCACAAAAGTAATTATATCTCTTGTTGTTTTGTACAGCGAACATACAAAGACTCCAGTTAGTCTGGGCACTTGAATCATTAGACGTGTAACTGACAGGAACTGAGGGGTCGGCAGAGGGAGGATACAGCAAATTACCCACACACAGTATCAGCTTTCATCACTGAATTCAAGGCAAGTCCCAACATGGAGTATGTCTAATGTGACAACCTGAGCAGGAGGTACAGCTTAACCCGGTGTCTTTAACCGTCAGCCTTGCAGACATTTGCAGTTAATTTTCTAGTATCACTACTGAAGACGAGCACTTTCATCTGCACTTATAATTATCAGGTTTAGTCATGAGTGATGCATGTTTTTCCTTTTTTTTTTTAAAAACTTTCTGTGATTGGTCTGGAACACAGAAAGTCAGAGAGGTTAGATTTTTCTTTTATTTTGAAGAACATGCTGTAAAATTGTTCATAGTTCAGTCATATTTACCTTTATTTAGAGTCAAAGAGCATATTATTATAATTAATCCATTATTTTCATTTCCAGCTCAACTCTATTTTTATTCTTGGACTTCATTAGACGAGCATGAGTCACCATTCTTATGTAGCTTATACTGAATGTTGGTTCAGTCCTTAAGTTCATGCACAGTTTGAAGCCAGCTGTTTTAGCTCATGTTTTTTTAAGCCCACCGTTCCTTTAAGCCTGCTTTGGCTACTCCTCACAAAAAAGAAGGTTTGAACAGCAGGTGGGTGAGGCTGTGTGCCTGAGGTTATCATATAAGGGACATCCACTCTTTGACATGATAAATAGCCAAGAGTAATTTTTTTTTAGGGTAAAACTGAGAGTTTAGAGCAGTTTGAATCTCGAGATTCTGGCTCACAGGGACTCTGCATATACACAGACCTCATTATTATGAGGTCCACTTTATAGACTACCTATTCTGGACAGAGTATATATTTTTCAGCCGCATGCAGTTTGGATTTGTCTCATGTTTTAAATTTCACTGTAATTTAGGAAATGAAATTCACACGCACATGGATAGATGGATGGATGCCACATTGTGAATTATACTGACTTTGCTTTGCTGACTCCTGCTTCTCTCGTGCCACCATTAAGTTCACAATTGAGGTTGTATGAGTGCCATGAAATAGCATGGAGATGGTGTGATGGTTTGCACTGTTGCCTCACAGCAAGAAGGTTCTGGGTTCAAATCCAGACTGAGCCTTTATGTGTGGAGCCTGGCCAGCCTGTGTTACCTCCAGTTATTTGAACTTCCTCCTTGTATAAAGACATGTAGGTTGAGTAAATCAGTGACCCTAAATTTGCTCTAGGTGTGTATGGTTATCTGTCTCTATGTGAAGGTGGTATACCGTGCAGCTTGCCCTATGACAGCTGGGATAGGCTCCAGCTTTCCTGCAACCCTCATTTAATATGCAGAGGCGAACAGATTTAGCACAGACATTTCTGTTCTTCCCAGGATGACCCTAAAATTTGATGACCCTAAAACTTTCGCTGTAGTACCATGTGATCAGGTATAATTATTAATTTGTCAAATCAGTAATGATGTTTATAAGCTAATATTTACATTGCCATTGTGTTCACTTGTAATCATCACATTTAGGAGTAATTAGCAACTTTGAGGAAATCACAGGCCATCTTCCCATGAACCTCTACCAAAGAGTCTTTTCATGACTAGATGAGCTGCGCCCTGCTGGCGCAGTTGGAATCAACTGGAATCCACCATTTATGTGTTTGTGTTGAAAACACAGACGTTCCTGAACCTCCCATAGCTACTATCAAAACTGTTGCTTTTTCTCTTCTTCCATCCTTATACAGACCACTTCGTGTAAGGTACTTTTTTGTACTTGGTAAGAATCAGCAGGTTTGGCCTGAAGTGAAGTCCCGATGGCTTTAGCAGATATCACTTACATTGGGAAGAGGCTCTGCACTGAAGAAATCCACCACTTTCCAAAGAGCTTGGGAAAGCCAATATCAGCTGCCATGACCGCAGTAATGGCACCATATTGGGAGCTGAAAGTTGACCTGGAGAAGCAATTACAGTCAAAGTTGGTAAAACAACTTCAAGGTCAGACATGGCGCTCATTTGTTTCATGAGGAGGATTGTTGTTAATGAGCCAGCCATCCACAGGGGCCAGCAGGCAGGGACTGTTAAGCTGGGCAGTGTGGTGGCAGAGGTTTTGGTTGGTTCTGGGGAGCCATGAAGCTTCCCAAACACTGTGTGATGATAAAAGATCTGGAACAACCAATGACCCCAGGAAGCACCATATAAGCTGTACAGGTGCATTAAGAGTTTCATGAATTATTTCTACATCTTTTTCAGCTGACATAAAAAAAAAGCCTCAGAATTTAAGGTATAAGACTTTCACCCAACAAGGACCATTGCTGCCGATTGCTTTCCAGGATGCATTTCCGCCAACATAAGCAATTACTAACGGTACACTATTTATATGTGTTTTAGAACTTATGTAATGATGCTCACACTTAAGCGCATTTAACCAATTTGGGTTTTCACTGCTCTGTTATGTTGTATATCCAGTGCAGGTCTGGAATATTTTAATATTTGTGTTGCTGAGAAATTATTATCTAGTAAATAATATTTAATTAGAGCAAACAGAAATCAGTCATGGTATTCAGAGTTGAAGTAATCTGGAAAAAAATGCAACCACTGATTTAGAAACTATAACTGTACGAATAAGCAGCAAATAATTGACTTTGATTGGTCAAAAATGTTTATTTAAATCAATACTTTGTCCTCCTCTTTGGACTTAAAGTGGCCCATACACCTTTAAAGTGGCCCATACACCTTTAAAGTGGCCCATACACCTTTTTAAGCACCTTATGCCCCTTCATGCCACTTAAAGGATACACTGATACAAACCAGCTTTGCTTTTTTATAATATCAACAGCAGGAGTCACTAAAAGCTAATCTGTTTATTATGGGAACCCAGTAGCAGTCAGTCTTATTGTATGACACCTCAGTGAAACTATTACTTCAAAACACTGGCACACAATAGAGCCCCTTTTTTTTTTCTTAAGCAGAGGAACAAATCTGATTTAAGAGCGTTTTGGAAGTCAGAATCATTCCTGATCTCTAATAAAAAAGGACTGACTACTCAGCTGCCTTTTCTCAAGAAAGGAAAAGTTTTATATGATTTATCTGTTTTGACTTATTCTCTGTATTTAAGATGTATAGCTAAACTATTGCATTCAGCTAACTCAAATTCAGACAAAAAGCTGCAATGGACTTCCAATCTAATCAGCATTTCTTGGCTTTTCTGCCCTCCTGTAGCAGATTAAATTAAAGGTTAAGCTCTCTGATATTTGATTTTGGTACGCAGTTTCCAAAGAATACATGCAAACTTGTAATCTTGTTTCCATTCACTTGATTCTGGTATGACAAATGAGATTATAAAGAATTATTCTGAATCATGATGAAATTTCTTTAATGAAATCCCAAAGATAGTTTTACCCACACTGTGCCTGCTTGCTGTTCTTATTTGGCTGAGTCAGAAATTAGTTTTTATGCCGATAAAGGTCAGAGCTGTGGAAACTTGGGAGCATTATATTTCTGTTTACTGCTGTTTGTTAATTTAGCCCAAACTGAATCTGAATGTTTAAGTGAACCAGCAAAACCTGTTGATGTGCCAACTGCTCACATAATCCCATCATGCTCATCACCCTTTCTGCATACTGTTTAGCTCTCCAAAATGAAAAATAAAAAACTGGGCGGGGTTGTCTTACTGGGGTATACTTTTGGCGACCAATCAAATCTTCTCGATGAAACGCACCTGAGAAGCTGCCAAAGCGAGAGGCGGGCGGGCTATATAAAACCCACTGCCCTCACATGTGTCCCTCAGCATCGGTTCGCTTATAAGAGGCGACTGCTTCTCGTTTCCAACGTTACACACTCTCTCTGTCCCCAAACGCAGCCATGCATCTCAGCGCGCACGAGTCTTGCCATTCCCTCTTCTTGTTTTGCATCCTGCTGAGGAGTTGCCAAGCCTTCAAGAACGACGCAACGGAGCTCCTGTTCTCTCACGTGAGCGCCCCGGTGCCGGAGGTCCAAAGCAACGTCTCCATGAACCGTCCACGAACCGGCGGGAGAGGAGCGGGCAGCGCGGCGCACGACAGAAGCGGTGAGTGGAGTGAAGGGACGCATCTTGTTTCAGAGGACCAGAGGATGCTCCTCTGCTTTGGTATTTTTGGAGTTTGCAATGAAGTTTATTCTGCTTGAAACTTACTTTAGAGAAAAAGATTCTGCTTTGTTGCAGAATGTGTTTTTTTTTAAATTGCTTATTGTAAATTTCTGATGTTTGGAGGTGTTTCGCATGATATGCGAATATATCCTACCATGTGTGCCTTTAGCACATTGTAGACTCTTTTTGCATCTTAAGAAGCTTGAACGTTTTTAATTTATCTGGTTATTCTTCTCTATGAAAAGGTGTTTGCAACTACAACTAAAACCAGTTTATGAAGATCAGGTTATAATGCTTTTTAAACCACAAAGATCAAATGTCTTTTAATCAGGCACTTAATCCCATCATCACCATACTGTTCCCATTTACACATTCCTACATTCTTAAAAGGGATTATTTTACACTAAATCATCACCAGTTTGCAGACATGACTGGAAGCTTATCGGAGTGTCTAGACTGGAAAGACATGGAGCAAATTTAGGGGTGTTATAAAAGGGAAAGATGGGCAGTGAATGCAGTGAATTTGAGCACACCAACCCCCCCTCCCCCCTCCCCAGTGATATATTGCTCAGTGTAACACACACCTGATTGGCTGGGGTCCAGACAGGGATGCAAGGCTCTATCAGGCCGAGCAGCGGACTGGATGAAAGTGTTCTCCCATACCATTGTGGCGGATTACTAAACAGGGGGAGGGGGTGAAGTGGCAAAAGGGAGGGAGAGATCAGGCTGGAGCCTTCCTTCATTCATCAAACACTGTCACTGAGAAGGGAGGGCATTGTATATGGAGTTGTTTCAATGGACTCAAGCTTGGGTTACAGTGACAGAGGGGAGAGCAGTGGGACACTGTTTGTAGCCTACGGGAGAATAATGTTGCTGTACAGAAGTAGACCCGCTTCCCAGATTTAAAGAAGAGAGTTTTTCTGTTTCACAGTGCTGTAATTACTGAAGTAGAAATGTCAGGGTGCTCCTCTTGTATCGTGTGACTTGCCAGAGGCTGCAAAAGGACTTATGACTAGTACAATGGGGGTAATCTTCAATCAGACCAAAAACTAGAGATGCAAAATTGTTCTGCAAGGAAAGCAAAAACTCTAAGTATAGCACTTGATTGGAGCTTTGCAACTGTGAGAATCTTCTGCTTTTATTTTTCACTTTCAAAAAGAGTACACAAAGAAATCTGTGAAGTAACTAATAGTCAAATAATTTGTTGCAGCCCAGTTTCTGTCTAGCTGCCTACATATATTTCTTCATATTCTCACACGTCTTTGTTTCTGCCTACAGAGCAAAGTCAAATTGGATGCAGAGAACTGAGGTCCACTAAGTACATCTCTGATGGTCACTGCACCAGCATCAACCCCATCAAGGAGTTGGTGTGTGCAGGCGAGTGTCTCCCAGCTCAGATGCTGGAAAACTGGATTGGCGGAACCCATGGCAGAAGGTTCTGGAATCGACGGAGCAGCAACCAGGACTGGCGGTGCGTCAATGACAAGACCCGTACCCAGCGCATCCAGCTGCAGTGCCAGGATGGCAGCACAAGAACTTACAAGATTACAGTGGTCACCTCCTGCAAGTGCAAGAGGTACTCGAGACAACACAATGAATCCGGAAACAAGTTTGAGGAGTCGGCCCTGTCGCCACCGAGGCTTCTCCACAAACACAAATCTAAGAACAAGAGAAGGTCGGGGAAGAACAGGCTGAGTGAAAACTGGCACGAGACTGAACCCTGAGAGACACTGAACATGCAGAGTGACTGTAAACCTCAAGAAGTTTTGTCTCAGTGATGTTAAGACACGACATCCAGAAACAGCAGTTGTGGATTATGTGTGTGACTGGGACTTGATTTATGTGAACTGGTTCCTCACCATGATGAAGAACTCCAAGCAGGACTCTGAGAACTTTTCTTGACATTTTAATCCACATGCTTAAAGCTAATATGACCAGGACTTGTCTGCAGAATGTTCTCCAGCCATGAACCATGCATAGACTGTCCTCTAGCCCTGTGCATGTGTTCATATAGTCATTTGATATGCAGATGGAGATCTTTAACTAACGAAGCGCCAACACCAATAAACACTACCCAACATCTTAAAATAATATTGTGTAAATAGATGTACATATATAAAATTCATGCTTTATAAAGTATGTCCATTTGTATAAAATTTTACCATGTAAGATTTATGATGTAATATATTTTATTTGGCAGCGAACCTGATAAGTGTGGCTTAAGTGCAGTCAGCATGTGGGTGAATCCTCTGGAAAAAGCTTTGTCATCAATCAGTTGTGTAAAAATAACATTGTATGAAATAAATATCCTTTTTTTTTAAATCATATGTGTTGTTTCTAGTAGGAATTTTTGGTTTGATGTGTTTCATCTTCAAGAGGGTTCTCATTAAAACTTAAAAAGCCTCGGACATAAAATGCACCAATAAATTTATATTTTTCAGGTAAGAAAGCTGGATGGATTCAGCACTGGCATATAGCATGATTTCTGCCATAAACACATTTCCACCTATCTGCAGTGTAAATGGTCTTGAAACATCTCAGGAATTAGGACCTCCCAGTCCTGACCAGTGGTCCTGCGGACAGGAGCAAATATTTCCCATAATTCTTTTTTGGAATTACTACTTTACTAAAATGGGAAATTAAACACCGTAACGTTTAAATTATACTAATACAAACAATAAATGAAAGAACAGTAGATGAAACTGATTATGATGCTTCTGGACTCAATTAAATAGTTTGAGTATTGTTAACATTAGGGAATTACCGGGCTAATTGTGTTAATCAAAAATAAAAATCCCCTGGACTTTTTTGGAAACCAGAAAGACATACGTACAAATGAATGCATAGAATAAAAAGTACATTATAGGTGCACAAATGTAAGTATTTCTAAAAGTTCTCTCTTTTACATCCTGCGTTTTCCTCTTTAAGGACCACATATTAAAGGGAAAACACTGTTTTCTTACTTTTCTTCAAGTCACATAAATTTCACAAAGCGAAGTTCACAAACTGTGACCTTTAATCCTCTGTTGTGAAGTGTAGTTAACTTTTTAAAATCAAAATAAATACTCTACGAGCTGTTGTAAGTTCATAAATTTTACATTTGCAACTTTCAAACGCTTTTATATTTATTTTGAAGCGTTCACCGGAAGTGTTCGCCATCGATAATCTGCCCGCTTCACAGCGGTGGTTCCCCCTTTTCCTCTTTTCCATCCACGTTTTCGGTATCTTACCCACCCCGCCCATCAGAAGGGAATGGATAGCTTTGGAAAGTAACCTACAGTGAAACCCCTCACACCCCTATCTGTAAACATATTGAGGTCAGTAATATGAACACGCGGGGTGATAACTGTGAACCGCACAGGCCCGCTCATCCCCGGATTTTCACAATGTGCGAGGCCGGGAAGAGCGACCACCACTCGGCAGAACGCTGCGTGGACTTCCCTGTATCGGTGGTTCTTCCTGCCGGAGGCACCGGAGAAAGAACGGGACTACAGACACCAAAACAGTTCTGCACGTTTCTTGGCAGACCGCTCATAAGCTACACTATTCAGGCTTTCGAGAGGTAGGAAACGTCTACGATAGGAGAGGCGACAAGATTCAATCCCCGTTAGTTATTAGGGAGACACGGAAACAGAAGGAAAAATGCCTCAGCTACTACCACCATGGCCGGATTAGTGGCTCGGGTGGCCCATGGGCAATATTTAATCGTTGGGCCCCCGCAGTGCACAGTACAGTCAATATCTGATTGCTCATTAATAATCATATTAAAAATATATATAAATACTGAAATTGGGGGGAATCCTGGTTTCTAATTCAAAAGAAAACAGCTTTGGCAATTTGAGTATTTGCTTTGGCTTCAGCAAATATGGTGGGCATATTCTCCTATTTTGTGACATATGCACAAAAATTGTGGATCATTTCTATTTTCAGTACATTTCCTGGCTTCCATTAGTTATGAAAATAATTTAAAATAGAAAAATATCTCATTCCCACTCATGCATTTTCAGCCCTAATACAGCAGTCATCCCTATCCATTTGAAAAGGAGCTGTACTGAAAAAATCTAAATCTGGCCACTTGTTTTACGCAGTCCTCTATTTGATGTGCAGATGTGGCATACATACATGTTATGCTTTGCAGGCGACTGAACCCTAAGATCAGGTGTACTGTAGAACTTCTATTTTTACAATAGAAGTTTTTATGTCGTCATCCGATATATATCGTTATATTGAACAGCCCTATGTACTGATGCAGTATGAGGAAAATAATTACTTGGAAATAAGTTGCATAATATTTTTTTTGTTCCAGTAGATTTTTCTTTGCATGCATATTGGGATTAGCTAAATTTTGCACAACTGGCAGAGGGGGTCAATTGATAACTTTTTCTCTGTCATGCTCCTTCAGCTTTTCTAGCATGTTAATTCTACCTTTCTTTTTCAACCTATAACAGTCCATTAAGTGTTTGTACCCTTTCACATGCTTTGTCCAATTTGGTGCCTCATTCTGATACACCAGAGACATTTTTGTGACTTATTAACCTTTGTAGGAGTAAAATCTGTTCACTCAATTTTTTTATTTTACTCAATTTATGATTGTCAAAGCATTAGGGTATTTTTGTTCAGCAAACAAACATATTTTCTACAGATTTTTGGCTCAATAACTAAAGTGATGAAAAGATGGAGCTACTCTGTGTTGTGATCATTGTTTGACCTCCATTACAACAATACCAAGACAGCTGGTTTTTGAAATCTGATGTGTCTCCTAGCTTGTTGTCAGTTTATGTGCCTGTCAGAAAATTAACAAGCAGAAAAGACACAGCCTGTGTGTCTGTTAATTTTCTATAAAAGATGAGATGATACATTATAGTCATAAAACAAAGGTGCTGGCTGGCAGATTTTTGAACTAGTGGACATCCACTAGTCCCCCCACTTCACTTCTCCATGCTAAGCTAACGGTCTCTTGGGGCTACTTTCCTATTTAAGTCACGTATGTGAATTTAATGTAAACTGTTTGCAAGAGAAACAACTATACTATTTTTTACCCAAATGCATATGTTTTACTAAATAATAAGAGTACTTTAAGCTAAAATAAAATTAAAACAAGCATTTTTAGCGTGTTAATTGTCATATAAATATTATACATATTTATATTATACATGTTTAAGTGGTCAGAAAATGTCATCCAGTGTTTTGGGAACTTTTCAAATCTTTCCTGACTTTTTCCACATTACACAGCCTAAAAAATACTAAATATTTGAATACTTGCAGTCCCAATTCTCCATCTGAGGGCTCAGTTTACAAATCAGGCATTTCTGAGCTGATGTTTCTTTTTCTTGCAGTATACCATGGATCCAAAGCATTGTGGTCGCTGTTGCCAAAGAAAACATGGACCTGATGACGGACATCATCCAGCGGTTTAAGCACAGAAAGGTTCGTGCGGTGCCAGGAGGCTCGACGCGTCACAGGTCGATATGTAATGGAGTCCTGGCTCTGGGTGAGGAGGAGAGGCCAGCAGTGGGCAGACCGAAGGTTGTCATCATACATGATGCTGTTCGGCCTTTTGTGGAGGAGGATTTTCTGTACAAGATAGCAATGGCTGCCAAGGAACAAGGGGTTAGTGTGACTAAAATGATTAATATTTAAAAGATTAATCACGTATTGGAACCTAACCTGAAATCCACCCAACATGTTGTTACATTTGCTGCTTATTTTGTGTGTTGTTTGGAACAGAGTTTTCATCCTTAGATTGTCTTATTTCCAGCACCTCAAATCTGACCTTTCCTGGAGTAATCTGTTACATGGTCATGTAATCATCCTCTGTGTGTATGTTCCTCTTTTGCTTCTGCCTTGTAATGATTGTTCTTAAAATATCTTCAAATGTTAATATGTACACAAGCTGGCTCATAGCCAGTAAAAAAGAGGGAAGACAACATTGGTTGTGATGCCAGTATTACTTTATTTACAAAAGTAAAAAATAATAAACATGACATCTGAGGAATCAGAGGTATAAGTCGTGGCATGGAGGCATAGATAAGTGAAGTGTAAGTGAGGTGGTCTGGGCATCAAAGCGAGAACAACAAATGGAAACCTGGAGGTGTCATTCCGAGGAGGTAGAGAGAGATGACGCTCAGGCTTACTTGAGGTATAATGCAAACCCTGCACAGATCAGTCAGTGGAATGACTCTGTCCACCACCGAGCCTCTGCAGGAGAAAACCTGGCAAAGCATACGAGAAAGGTACTCGGCCTAACTCGACTCGCTTATCTATAGGGAAAAGAATACAGAGCTAGGGAGCACACAGCTCGGCAGGAAGACTGTAACAATATATACATGAGAGGTAACGAGGGAAGGAGAAACAGATGGGGAACTAAACACAGCTGAAAGCAATCTAGACAACGAGCAGGGGGAAGGTTAAACACAATACAGTAGATGTACACAAGATACAAACAAACCACTATCAAAATAAAACAGGAAATAAAACAACTAAACATGGAAACAGCAAGGCAGTGGAACACTAAAAGGCAAAAGAAAACACAGAGACAAGACTGGAGGAACAGAATGGAAACAGCAACTGTTAAGAATAGTAAAGTAAATACTAACCCAAACATAGAACCACAAACCTAAACTGCACGTCCTGAATAATCAGCTAAACACAAACAAGAGCCACTGGGAAAGTATAATACATAAAACCAACATATAAACAATGTTATATTTAAAAATAAACATCAGTCAAACATAAATCACGTCAAAAAAACAATGACAAAAACAGGATATCTGAAGGTGCTACCGTCAACTAGGAAGGAGTCATTACTTAAAGCTAGGTTCTAAAACCAAACGTCCTCATTTTTCTATGGTGTTTCCATCTTCTCTACCTGTCCTGCCACCACCACTTTTGAGTCTTACACTGCCATTACATTAATAGCAGTGTAAGGTTGGACAGCTCTTTTAAACTCGAGAAACAAATCTCCTCTGTGGTAAAAAGCAGTTTCTACCAGCTGCGTCAGATATCTAAAGCAAAGCCATAACTTCCTTTGAAGGACCTTGAAAAGCTCGTTCACGCTCTTATCACTTCCAAATTAGACTACTAATTCTCTCTACTCGGGCCTCCCATCTTCCTCTATTCACCGGCTCCAGTTAGTTCAAAACGCAGCTGTGCGTCTCTTAACTGGTACTAGAAATTCTGCCCACATCACACCAGTTTTAGCCAACCTACATTGGCCCCCCGTTGATTATCGTATCAATTTCAAAATTCTTTTGCTTACCTTTAAAATTTTAAACAATTTGGCTCCCAGCTATCTATGCGAACGC